GGGTCATTGAGAGAGACGTCCCCAATCCACACCTACATGCTTATGTAAGAATGGTGGCTAGTTCTATGTTACTAACCAAGATAAAGTAAAGTCAGGTTTACTGTTCAGTGTGCTGTTTACCTGGCTCATGGGAGACCCTGGGTCTGATCCACAGCACAAAGAAATAATAGCGTGGCAAATAAAGCCACAAGCTGCTGCTTCCTTTTCTTTTCCTTTGGACGCAGGGTCTCACGTAGCCCAGAGTGGCATCTGAACTATGCAGCTGAGCTGGTCATTAACGCCTGACACTCCTGCCACCATTTCCAGAGCGCAGGGCTGGCTATATCAGCTGAAGCCTACTTCTAAGGGCCCTGGATTACTCTTGTTTATGCTTATTTAATTCTCTCGGGCCATGCTTCTCCCTCCCTTCCTGCCTTCTCTTTTGCAAACACTCTGCCCTCAAAGCCATTTTCCATCTCAGCCTGTCATTTCTCAGATTACCTGAATCGCCTCGCAGGGAAGAAAAACAGCCATTTTGTTTGAAAACACAGAAGTCAGGGATACTAACAAGACAAACTGGTTCTTGGTTGCCCTGACTGAGGGCTTCATTACAATATTATTCCTGTCTGAATTTTTGTTAATAACATCTTGTCAGTACAGTACTGTAGTTAGTACAGTATTATTGTCAAATCTAAAATAATCAAGGGGAAAAACAGAAATCTGTATATGTAACACGGTACTGCCCACATCAGACCGATTTCCTAAGTCTGAAAGCTAGAAATAAACTCACAACTTGGATATAAAAAGCCCAAGGTCTATATTTGATCAGAGAGCTTCAAAGATAAACACAGCTCTAATGGGATGGTACACAGATGTTTTAAATTACTTTAAAAGAAGTAATGCCAGCTACCAGTAATTACAAATAGTTTAATTACAAAATAGCAGATCACGTGTACTTTATGTTTAAATTAACCTTTTTTATATCTCTTCTTTTTGAGATACTGTCATTACATCATTACCCCCACCCTCCAAACTCCCACACACCCCAGGCACAGAGCTGCTTTCCAGAGACAGATGCCTCTAGATTGAATGACACCTTATCAACAGGACATTATGCCTATCATCTGTGGGCACTAGGTCTGCTGAGTACGGTTTCCCCGAGGCCGGGGGTGCAGTTCTGGCATAAGGAGGGGCTTAGCATGGGCATCTGGGTTTCATCTCCAGGTCCTCAACTTCCATTCCAAAGCGTTTCTTTCTTTTCTTTCTTTTTGATTTTTCGAGACAGGGTTTCTCTGTGGCTTTGAAGACTGTCCTGGAACTCGATTTGTAGACCAGGCTGGTCTTGAACTCACAGATATCTGCCTCCTGTGTGCTGGGATTAAAGGCGTGCGCCACCACCGCCCGGCTTTGTTCCATTCTTAAATGACCAAAGTGTTTTCTAACTCAGAGTGAAGCAGCTAGGAATGGTGGCTCACACCTGTAATGCCAGCACCTGAGAAGCAGAGGCAAGAAGAGGATCAGGGCGTTTGAGCCAGGCGAGCTATGAGGTGAGTTCAAGCCCAGCTAGGGAAACGCAAGATCTGATCTCAACCAACGTGTGCGTGAGTGTGATCTCAACCAGCCTGTCCATACATGGTGTGTGTGTGTGTGTGTGTATGTGTGTGTGTGAGAGAGAGAGAGCGAGAGAGAGACAGACAGACAGACAGAGGGAGGGAGGGAGGGAGGGAGGGAGGGAGGGAGGGAGGGAGGGAGGGAGGGAGGGAGAGAATGTTCAGTGGCAGATCCTTTGTCTCACCTATCTCACCTATGTAAGGCCCCGAGTGAGTAAAAACCAGATCACGCACATCACCAATGTCCTCAGCATTTAGCAGATGAAGGAGTCTGGTTCCTGGCTGGAACCTGTGTCACTCAAGAGATGTACAGTAGCCCACAATCCCTGAGTCTTATATGCATTAACTCAACTAACAAGGAAAGTTAAAAGTGTTTATTAAGATGTAGACATTTTTCTTGTGACATCACAAATAACCCAGCATAACAACTGTTCACATGTCTAAATCACATACACACGTTACAGATCATTTAAAGCATACAGGAAGACGTGCCAAAATTACTGGAAAGCACTACATTTTGTAAGGGACCTGAGCATCTCAGCCTGGGTGGGTACCCTGTGTATGAGAACACCAGGTCTCACTGCCTGGCCTGTATACAGGGACACCGCCTCTCCTGTGTAGCCTGGCCTGTATACGGGGACACCGCCTCTCCCGTGTAGCCTGGCCTGTATACGGGGACACCGCCTCTCCTGTAGCCTGGCCTGAACTTGTGGCAATCCTTTCGGCTCTGCTCCTGCAGTGCTGGTATACTGGCTTCATTTTGAAATACTTGGTGGCTTTTTAAGGTCTTCCCAGTGCCACCCTGTCCCGTCTCCTCTGCCACGTATCACAGTTTAGTGATTAGCAGTGTGTGTGTGTGTGTGTGTCATGAAACATTACTAGCACCTTCTACCACTTTAAAAACCGACTAATATAATACATCCAACTTCAGAGTGTCCCAACCCCCTCCCCTTTTTCTGAAGCTTTGGAGGCTGTCCTGGAACCCGCTCTGTAGACAAGGCTGGCTTCGAACTCACAGAGATCCAACTGCCTCTGTCTCCCGAGTGCTGGGATTAAAGGCGCACACCACGACCACCACTTGGCCACATTCTCTCGTTTTAATACTTAGCCATAAACACAATATTAGAGGAGAAACACACAGATGGCCCAGCAGGTACAGCCTTCAAGTTTGACACCTGAGTTCAATTCCCAGGCCCACGGAGAAGAGGATCAAACCCCAGATTCTGTCTTACTACCACACACAATAAACTAATAAAATGTAACCTTAAAAATATTTAAAGAAAAATCACCGGGCATACTGATACACGTCTTTAATCTCAGCACCTGGCAGAGCAGGTAGGTGATTGTCTGAGTTCAAGGTCAGCTTGGTCTACAGAGCTACACAGAAAAACCCTGTCTCAAAAAAACAAAAACAAACAAACAAACAAACAAAAAACCCACAACAACAAAAAAGAAAAACAGAAATCTAGGATGATAACCAGTGTTCTAGAAGGAACCCCAATCATCCCAGTTAGATTAGGTGCCTATATTCCGAAGGAAGGGCGTCTCTGCTGCTGACTTTTAAAGCCCTTCTATAGTTAGAATGGGAATACATATTTAGCTCTACAAATTCCATTTGAAATCTGGTGCCAAAGTAATATTACCAGTAAAGCATACTTGCATCATCACCGTCCAAGCTTTATAATTTAGTCAAAAACCATATATAAAGCACAGATTCTGAGAACGCCCAAGTCTTTGATACAGCCCCTCAATGAACACTAAGGGAGCATACTCTTCATCAAGTCACTCCCATAATCCCGCCCTTTTCTTCCTTTGCGGCCATTACCTCCTCATTATAATGTGTTTTCAACTCACCCAAAGCAAGAGTTACTTAAGTGGAGAAGCCGCCTCACACCCGGCGTTGATGGCAGGCGGTCTCACTTGTGCAAACTCCCCAGTCAAGCCTGCCACCAGGGCTCCTGGCCACTGTCAGAATCCTTTAGTGAGGCCACTGCCATTCCAAATGTCACAGCCAGTTTCCTCCACAGGGAAGGTGGGGAGCCGGCTGCAGCTGTGGCCTTGGGTATGCGATGCGGGAGGTAAAGAAACTGCCTCTGCTACCCATCCTATAGGCAAAGCCGGGGCGTTCATAGGTTAAGAGCCCTGGCTGCTCTTGCAAGGACACAGGCTGGGTTCCCAGTACCCACTCATGGCTCAGAACCACCTGCAACTCCAGTTCCAAGGTATCTGACGCTCTCTCATGCCCTCCATGGACTCCAAGCATATACACGGTGTACCAAACATACAAGTAGGCAAAACTTAATTCAAAAAAAGTTAAAAGCAAAATTGGAAACTCCCATACACATAAATTTAAAATAAATAAGGGTTTTGAGTGCATGGCACAATTTCCTCTAAAAATTTTCCCCTTTATCAAGCAGTGTTTGCTACTCCTCATTATTATTCAAGAAAAGCTACAGTCACATAAATTGCCAAATAATTCAACCTGCAAGCTCAGCCTTCATATGAAGATAGAGACTTGTTTTATGAGGCAGTGTTTTGCTATGTAGCTGTGGCTGTCCTGGAACTCAAAATGCTGACCAGGCTGGCCTCAAACGCACAGAGCTCTGCCTGCCTCTGCCTCCCAGGTGCTGGGATTAAAGAAGCAAGCTAGGTCTGTAAGAAGGTGGCTCTGAGATTCACAACACAGCAGGCCTTGCAGGTCCTGTTAAGGTAATATAAATATCTGCGTTAAAACGAGTATAAAGGCGGCGAGGCGGTACACCAGCGCCAGGCAGACGCAAGTCTGAGGCTAGTTTGGGAAGGCCTCACCTCAAAAACAAACAAACAAACAAACAAACAAACAGCACTGAGTCCAGCATCCCTGAGGCAGTCATGGAACACAGCTACGCTCTTTTACTTCCTTAGGGCAACTAAAAATAAAACTGTACTTTTCATCGAATTACAAAAGATAAGTGGCGTGGCAACTCCGACCCCAGATGGAAGAAGACAGCAATCAAACACAAACAGAACTCGCTCCCACACTTGGGAGGCGGAGGCAGGAGGATGGGGGGGGCTCCAGGTCAGCGGCAGTGAGACGGCTCTGTGGGGCAAAGGGGCTGTTGGCTTGCCACGAGCGGTGGTAGGAGCAGACAGACTCCCTAGAGCTATTCTCTTATGTAACTGTATACCCAAGCACACTCCACAACCACGCACAATAAAGTCACAAATACGACTTTAAAAACCCAAAGTAGAAACCCCAAACAACTTAGGACCTAAAGGAAACCTGAGATTTAAAAACTCCCTTTTGATACATTTTGCTACTTTGAGATACAATGTCTCAAAATGGCACTGGATAGGAAGCTTCCTAGTCTCCCCAAAGAGAAAACAAGTGCCCACACAGCATGGTAGCGGCTCTGCAACCGTGGTGCTCACCTGAGGCGGAGTTCATCAGGGTCTGAGGCACCGCTGTGCTGGCAGGCGTAGGGACGTTCATTTGGGAGAGCATGGCCTTCCTGGGGTCCTGCCATGTTGTTGTCTGGTCGATGTGGCTGAGACAAAGAAAAGCAGAAAGTCAGACCATTACCCCCTAAGAGTGGCTCCCCTGATTAGCAAGGGAGGCCAGAGGAGAGCATCCTCACCACACTGCCCCACCCCAGCAGACAGCCCCCAGCCTGAGGCACTCGGGGCACTGCCATCTCTGAAGTGTGTAAGTACGCCATCTGAAAAGGGTTACACATGGTGTCTTAAGTACACAGTGTCACTTCTAACTCAGGCAGAAGATGGTGTCTAAATCACCTAGGTGCGAATTGCGACTAAACCTCAGATTGGCTAAAAAAATATGACAATTTAACAACAGGCTTTTAGAACTCAAATTCTTTTTCAAAGGTAAAACACAGAAAGCAAAGTGTCCTATCAAGACACACACTCTAAAGTCAAAGCTGAAGGAGAAAAACAACTGGGCAGCAACAGTCCCTCCTCCCTGTGAAATGTGACCAGCTGCCTCAGGGTCCTGGACACCCGGCCTTACGCCTTATGCTGTAGCAAGGGCTCACAGAGCAGGGACACACCCTCCTGCCCTGCCCCTCCTCTCAAATGGCTTTTGGCATGCATTTTATCACAACAATAAAAGCAGTAATAGACACACAGTTGTAATAACACGAAAGGAGAAGGCCACTCATAAAACAGTTTAAATAAAGGTACACGCTCAGGAGGCAGAGGCAGGCGGATCTCTGTGAGTTTGAGGCCAACCTGGTGTATAAAGCTACACAGAGAAACCATATATTGAAAAACCAAAAAGGGGAAGAAAAAAAAAATCACAAAATACCACAATTCTCCCTTTTTTGTCTAATACAAAAAGAAAGCTACAACGAAAAACTATATACATATGTACAACGTATACAGGCAACGAGTTCATCAACAATGTCTAGTCCGTTTGCATTTGACAATTTCACAGAAAATACTTCATTATCTATCCTATCTTGGTGAGTCCTAAGTCTTGCACCTAATTTATTTTCTATTCGAATTTACATCATCAAATCATTTTTAAAGTCTTTCCAACTTCATATCCTTTCCATTTCTTCAGTGAGTTTCTTTTCTGAGTCTGGTAAACAAGTAAAACTATAAAAGGCTAGAGAGTGTAGCTAGAAAGGACAGTAAGTGCTTCCACCTGTGGGGACCCAGGAAGAGTTCAAACTCAGGGGAGGCATGGCAGCTGTCACCACCATATAACCGTGTTATGCAGGTACAAACGCACAAGTTCCCCTTCTCCACAGCGGCGGCCGCAGAGACGGCAGTGGCAGTGCTGAGGTCAAGACCATGCAGTGTAAACTTGGTTCAAATCTTACCCTAAGCCTCACACAATACAGAGGATGGCTGAGTTCTCATCAGACTCCGGGCTTCCTCCACCTTCCCAGCCCTGTAGGAAAACGGTGATCCTCAAACAAGTCACTGAATCTTAAACTATCGGTACACTTTTCCCCTTAAAAAAGGAGAAAGTTGGCAGGGCGTTGGTGGCACACGCCTTTGATCCCAGCACTTGGGAGGCAGAAGCAGGCGGATCAATGTGAGTTTGAGGCCAGCCTGGTCTACAGAGCAAGTTCCAGAACAGCCTCCAAAACAATAGAGAAACCCTGTCTTGAAAAACCAAAAAAAAAAAAAAAAAAAAAAAAGGAAAAGAAAGTTTTCTCCTATTTTTTGATATGTATTATAAGCACTCTACCTCTGAGCTGTTCCTGTAAACGCTGATAAGGCACACCCTCCTCACTGCTGAGCTCCGGGGCTTGGATTTCAGGTGGCACCAAGGATCTATCTTGTTTTCCCCAGCAACTTAAGACAGTGACAGGAAGGAGCAGCCTTCTTCTGCCCACTGGTCCAAGGCCTGCACTTCACAGGACCCATCTCCACAGGGGCATGTTTGGCTGTACTTTACTTAATTTAAAATTTAAAATGGACTCATTGAGGTCACCATTCCAACTGCTCTACAAAGTGCCTAGTTTCTATGAAATTTAAAGACCAAGATGCCTCCCTTATTACAGAGAAGCCAGGCCCGTGTGTGCTACACCCCAGCTGCGGGAGATGACCTCTGTACTTGGGGGACGGGACAGGTTGACCCTTGGAGCTCACTGGTTGGTTAGTCAGTCCAGCCAATAGAAGGCCAGGGCTCAGTGAGAGCCCCTGAATCAAGATGGGAAGCAACGGAGAAGACACCCAACATCTAAGACATCCATACATCTAAGAATACACACGTGAACACACACATGAATACACATTCACAAATACAACACACACACACACACACACACACACACACACACACACACACACACACACACAGAGCCCTGCCAAAGACAACCTGGACTCCGTCATATAGATTGATGGGGGAATGTCCTTCTGTATATGTTTCTCTTACTGGTTGACGAATAAAACACTGATTGGCCAGTAGCCAGGCAGTAAGTATATCAGGGCTAGAAGAGAATTCTGGGAAGAGATGCAGAGAGAGGTTTTGAGAGACACCATGTAGCCACTGAAGAAGTAGCATGGTGGAGCATTCTCCAGTAAGATAAGGCCATGTAGAAATACATAGATTAATAGTTTGGGTAATAAGAGAGCTAGCCAGTTAAGAAGCCCGAGCCATGTGCCAAACATCTGCTTTATCTTCAGCAAGGGGAGTGGGGAATGGTTTGTTTACTTTCCAGGGTTTTGAGAATAAATTCATAGTTTAACAACCAGGGCTGTGGCTCCTAGAAAAGGCTCTATAATCCAACGTGGCAGCACACACCTTTAATCCCAGGACAGAGACAGAGACAGGCAGTCTCCGTGAGTTCAAGCCTAGCTCAGTCCACTTAGTACCAGGTCAGCCAGAACTACACAGTGAGATCCTGTCTCAGAAACAACAACAACAACAACAACTAATTCCCACTCCAATCCAACTCCCCACAAAGGGGGGCTCTAATATTTCCCCCAACTCCAATCTTTTGCTGATCCAATACTTAGGACAGCAAAAAAAAAAAAAAAATCAAAGGCAGATGGGTGAAGGAGACAATACTGGTAAGCTTGGTTAGTAGGTGGCGCATGCCTTTAATCCCAGAGCTTGGGGGACAGAGGCAGAGGCCAGCCTGATCTACAGAGCTAGTTATAGGATAGCCAAGGCTACGCAAAGAAACCCTGTCTTGAAAAAGCAAATGAAGGTAGAAGGGATGGAAAGTCAGTGAAGTGCAGGCTGCTCTTCCAGGAGCAGAACGAATCCTTTGTTAAAGAAAAGAGAACAAGGCAGTTGCACTGGGAGAGGGTCCCAGGGCTTCGGACAGCGGCCGTCCAGGGCTTCGGACAGCGGCCGTCTCATCACCTGGCCGGCGATGAAGTTGTGACACACAGAGAGACGCAGAAAACACGCTCCAGACGATTAGTTTAACCTATGCCAAGCTCAGAATTAAGAACCAACTAGAAAACAAAGCAAACACATACAAACACAGGCTCCTCAAAGAGCACCAAACTAATAATCTGAGAATAAGAGTCTAAAGCACTAACTGTGGGAAACTGCAAAAGGTCTTTAGCTTCAATTCAACAAGGTTGTAGCAGTTTGATGTAACTGGCCTCCAGCAATCTCACAGGGAGAGGCACTATCAGAAGGTGTGGCTTTGTTGGAGTGGGTGTGGCCTTGCTGGAGGAAGTGTGTCACTGTGGGGCGGGCAGGCTTCGAGGTTTCCCAAGCTCAGGATATCCCCTCCCACCGTCTCAGTTGACTTCCTGCTGCCTGCCTGTCAAGTCAGTGCTCAGCTCCAGCACCGCACCTGCCTGCAGGCTGCCATGCTCCCGTCATGATGGTCATGGACTGAACAGACTGAACCTGAAACTGTAATTGAGCCACCCCATTAAATGTTTGCTTTACAAGCACTGCCATGGGAATTGTGTCTCTTCACAGCACTAAAAACCCTTAATAAAGACGACAACAGTGTGCCTGGGACAATAAATGAGGCCACTGGCAGTGAGTCCAAGATCTAATACTAATGCACAAACTCCCATTCTATACCGAGAGACACCGTGGCCGTCCTAGACACAGGGGTGTGGTGTGGAGGTGTTGTGGTCCTGCCTCAATGAGATGATGGCACAGTCTTAGTAGACTTCCTAGGGGAGGCCTCACCCTCTCAGAGGAGCAGAGGGGAGGGGAGGGTGATGTGGGGGGAAGGAATGGGAGGAGAGGGAGGGGAAACTGGGATTGGAATGCAAAAAATAAATAATAATAATAATAATAATAATAATAATAATAATAATAATAATAATAAATGGTCAACTCAAAAATCAAGGCCAAGAATGAGCAAGCCACCAACCAAAGCCCAGTGAGATGGATGGGGAAAATACACTTGCCACAAGGCCCAATAATCCAAGTACAGCCACGTAAAGGTGGAAGGGGAGAACGGCGTATGCCTTACACACTCACACACACACACTCTCACAGGCATTCACACACACCCGTGGCAGACAATATAGTAAGGCCAGTCTACACAGTGAGTTCTAGGATGCCTGAGCTGTATACATTTTATTTTATCTTTACTGGGGGAGGGGGGTAATTTTAATTTTTTAAAGTCCCCTAATCTAGCCACATAACCAGACAGCCAAGTTCACAGAGGTACAGGCTGTCAGAACAGACCACCCCACAGACAGTGTGAGATACTCCCCTCCTCCTGTAGCGACAGTCTTGAAAGTGGCTTCCAGTTAAACACTGCGTTTCTCCTTCTAACTATCCAGACAGTTTACAGATTACTGTCATACTCTTCTGTTACATGTACCTAGGGTGCGGAATCTGAGTAGAGACAGCTGCCTGTCTGGTAGCTGTGCAGGGTAAAATGGAAGACCAAGTAGCTGAGAAAAAGACAAACATTTTCAATAGTAGGTTCTAAAAAGGGGCTTGGACATACAATATTATTTGGTTTCATTTATAAGAGCATCAATTACTGGTGCTAGTCCTAGACTACAAGCAAGGTTACATCATTTTGGACCAGCAGGATGGCTCAAGGAGGTAATAAGTTGTTTGAACACTGGAACCACTTAC